TTTTAACATTATTGTATTTCTCTAATTATTTTATTTTTTATTTAATAATATATTACTAATATATTAACAACATATTTAATTTATAAATATATTATATAGCCAAAACCACATATGTTTATAAAATTAAGAAATGATTAATTATTCGCACTTGGCGAATGTACCTCTTGATATCATTACTTTTGTAAAGATTATATAAAATTGTCTTGTATTTTTCAATAGAATATTCACGAGAGTACAAATGATCTGAATAAGATTGTTTTAATATTTAATATATTAAATATTAATAATATTTTTTCAAATATCTTTTGGCTGAACTTTTGTTGTAATTTATTTATAACGATTTTTTTGGTAAAGTTTATTTATAACAACTTTTGTGTAAAGTTTATTTATAATGGTTTCTTTGTAAAGTTTATTTCAAATACCTTTGGCTGAGCTTTTGTTGTAATTTATTTATAACAATTTTTTTATAAAATTTATCTATAACGATTATTTTGTAAAGTTTATTTATAACGATTTTTTTGTAAAATTTATTTATAACGATTTATTTGTAAAGTTTATTTACCAGATGTATAAGTAGTATATGTACAGCTTCCGTGAGACAAGGCGTGGCCTATTTCTCGGTGGTGGGGGTAAAAGCTGGCGCCAGTGTGTCAGGGATGGTGGAAGGGGGACCAGGGGGTTAGATTAGGGTGAGTCGAGAGTGGGGGAGGGTCCCGAAATGAAATGGTGAGGGGAATTTTGTAGGTATGGTAGAGGAGGGTAAAATATGGAATAAAAAATTATTAATATTGGGAGTGGGGGCGGTCGATGTGTCGCCCTCACAATAAATCGGGATGGAATTATTCAGGGCGATGTATGTATATTATTTTATTTCTTTTTATTGCATCGTTTTTTACGGCGTATAAACTTCGTTTCTTGCGGCATGAGCATTGTTTGGAAGTTCCGAGTCTCGACTGATGAGTGAGTCGAGAAGGAGTAGATGACGATGGAGGAGCTAAGGGTAGGGGGTAGTCGTCGGTTGCTGGCGTATAAGGGCGAGGGTAATTTATGCTATTGGTTCGTTTACTGGTCAGCTATGGATATTCACGGAGATTGGTTTTAACCTGAGGGTCTCTCCGCCTCGTCGCCTACATCGAGAATATGTGAATGCTAAATATGACCTGGAAAATTTAGGCGAAAAGGGAGCTACTGAACGTTAGGCGAAGGTGGGGAGCTAGCGGGAGAGGGTAGTCGTCATATGTCTTAGCGTGAGGAGTAAGGAAGATCTATTGGTTCGTTTAGTGGTCAGCTATGGTTATTCGCGGGGATTGGTTCTTTCCATAGCGCTCCCCGCATCGTCGCTTACGTCGAGAAGAGTAGAGGGGGAGACGTTACCGGAAAATTATGACGAAAAGATGTTTTCTGAAAGTTAGAAGAGCGAGATAGAGAGAGAGAGGCGAGAGCAGATCTAGATAGTTATGGGTATGCGGTGTTTGGTCTCGACTCCTTTGATTCTTATGTTGAGACGGGGGGGAGGGGAGGAAGAATATTATCCATGCGTGCGTCAGCATCGTGGAAATTTCTGAAATTTATCGAAGAATATAGATATGGATAAAAGAAGGAGACGCTTTTGAGGAAAAGAAAAGAAATAAACATGTTGCAGGATAAAATCTGCTATTTATTTATAATTACATATAATTACATATGTTCACAATATTATGAATTTGACGCGTGTTGCATCGCTTAATTTTTTATTATTCTTCGTACAATTTCGTGGAGATGAAACGATGTTAGCTCCAGAAAGAGAATGTCAAAGTACACGTCCAGAAAATCAAAATTCAGTAACTGCCTCTGGACATTTTTCTCGATCTCCTTGAGATTATTTCAGAGCGCGTTTTTCACCTCATCTAAATAGCGGTTGGGTAAATGTATTTCGATTTCCGCAATGAGAAATTCGACGTAATTGTGGACGAGATTAGTTAGCGAATATAGCTGTTTTCGCCGCGCGTCGATGCAACTCGCAATACTTTGGAGACTTTCGAACGTGATTTTCTGCATCGCTATCGACAGCGAGTGTCTTGCGTTTCTTCTTCGGTGGCTCCGTCGCTGTCGCGGAATCCGCCGTCGTGGCTTTCTCTTCTTCCGTTTCGCGATTACGCGTTACCATTATTGCACTTGAGCCGTAAGTGGTGGTGAAATAAATACTCGCGTTCTTTAGAATCAAGAGCTGTGGCGTAATTTTATTCAACTTCGCGCAAATAAGCATGCACGAAGTCAAATTCCTCTTGAAACTTCTGCCACGCTTCGAGTTCGAGGTAGATATAATCCGTCGAATTTCCGATTAGTTTTATCGTCGCTTCGTATCTCCCTGCGTCGTTTGCTTGCAGTCCCACTTGCACCCTCTTCGTATCCAAATTGTTTAAAGTGTATGTTGTAGACAGTAACATGTTACTCTTTCGATTAAAGTTTCGACCACTTGTGATGTCACTGCGGGTGTTATTACATCCGTTCTTCTCGATATTCTGCTTGTTAGCGGCCATTATATTTCTCACGACATTTGCTCCTCGAATAACCCGTGAATAATTTTAACAAACGTCGACTTTTCGTAACAACGAAACGTGACTATCGGAGCATTACCGACTATATGAAACCCGCGAGCGATCAAGAGCGGTTTTATAGGATCTCGAGAGTACGAAATATGCATAGAGGGAGGTAGTATACGCGTACCAAAAATGTTTATATAATAACATTTTTCAGTTACGCTTCTCTGGTGCGCTTTTCTAGGAAGTGTTTTTCTAGAATTTTCTAACGTCGGGGACAAATGCAGGGGGGCTTTAAGCGTGCTAGTTTATGGCGAACAACGATAATATTTTATACCGGATATTCAGCCTCCTTTGAATGTTAGTCATCACGACGTCGCTTCTCTTAGGCTTATTTTCATCTTACTGCATTTTCTTTTTTTTTTCTTAAACGCAACGGTTGCCGTAACTGTCGGCAATATTCTAACGGACGCTTCTAAACTCTCCTTTTTTGTATGTTTAGGCGCTCGCATTTTTGTCTCAGGCTTTTCCACGTACCTGATCGTTTCGTCATGTTTCTCAGGTTCAGGTTTGAAAAAAAAAAGCGAGCCTGGCAGGCGCGCGTGCAGGCGCCGTGCAGCCGCCGTGCACGTGTCGTCTGAGACGAAAGACACGCGCCAAAAAACAAGTATTCTCGCGTTCTAATGAAGCGGAGCGTATAAAAAAGGAGCGAGATATAAACAGGCATATTTGGAATATGTCGCGAATTAGCAGGCTATTGTAATTGCCGGCACAAGCGAAAAATAGTCAACAGTATTTCAGCCAGCGTCTTCTGAGTCAGCGCGAGGATTACCGTCAAAGATACGATCGGAATTCACTTTTTAACAAAAAGAGCGATTTTCCTAGAGGAAGCGCACCGTTACATACCCGTCGTATCATTCTTTTGTCGAATGGTCACGCATTCTCACACATCCTGTAGAAAAAACAACTTTGAAAACGCTTAATCCGTCGGGTCTTACTATTTACCTCAATATTTACCTCAATATTTACCTCAATATTTACTGAGCGTGTTTTCGACGATAAACCCTAATAATTTTAAAAATCCGCCCTTCTTTCTTGGGAGAATCGTTTTGTCCTAGGAGAGAGAGAGAGAGAGGAGTAAAATTTTGAGGGTATATATGCGAGGAGAAAACTTCGGTTTCGCATTTTCTACCGTCAGTTTTCTGCAAGTTACAATGTCGCGAGTGCGTACATTAGTGCGCGAGTTCATTGTTACGGCTTCAAACGCCGACGTGAGTATCGATAGCGTTCGATATTTGACGCGTATTTCCGCCAATGACGGAAAATTATAACATATTTTATCCTTTTGCATGCGCTTGTAGTAGCACGCTGCTAGCGCTTTTGTGTAAGTGTGAAAAATTTCGGGGTGATCCGAAATTAGTGAAAAAAATCCGTGAAAATCTAATATTTCGACGGGATTTTGAGGAGAACGTCGATAAGGTGTGGGGTATTATCGCCGACGCGATATCCTACAACGGATAAGTTAAATCATATCAATTTTATAGCGAAAACTAAAACTAAGTAATTTACGCGAATTTTTAGAATAATTATTGTTTTTATCGTTTTATAAGTCTGAGTCTCGTAGCCGTCGGTAGCAGTGGCGAGGAGGCGCTTGAGCTTCTTCCACGGGGTCGTAAACGCTTCACGGAGGAACCGGCTTACCCAAGTTAGGCGACTTCGCGTAAGTACAAATCGAGAGAGAGAGAGAGGAGTACTGGATTTAAGGCAGTTTATCGGGTAAATTACCTAACACCAATATAATATTTAAGCTGTAATAATGCTCAGACATCGGAAGCCAACTTATGGGATTCCGATAGCATCTGCAACGTGGAAACGCTTGTGAACGAGGTCGTCGTCGTCGCTGCTGAACCCACAGGTAAGGCGGTATAAATATTTATAAAATAACAAAAGTGTCATGTTAAAATCGATTCATGCGATATAAGTATAATTTTATTTTCAGAAAACAGCGAAAATGATACCGGCGCTAGTAAAACGCTAGACGCCGCCGCTGTCGGTGCGACGACGACGACGATGACGATGGCAACGTCGCCGTCGTCAATGACGTCGGCAACGACGTCCATGTCGACGAAGACAGCGTCGAGGGGAGTAACGAGGGAGAGGAACACGACGACGACAATGCCGAGGGCAATGGTGAAAACGTTCGCTGCTATCGAGAGCCGCTTTCTTCAGCAATATCAGGTAAGAACTTTTGCGTGTGAACCCACGCGGAATTCTCTAGATGTTTATTTTTATTTACGTTTAGTTTATTTACGTTCGAATTTAATCCAAATTGATTGTAAATGAAATTAGAACCAAATTACTCGCCGGTTAGCCACCATTCCAACGAAGGGGAAGATTGTATGCCACATATTCCCGACGCGGAAAGAGAAGTGGAATGGGAGAAAATACTGTGGGAGGGTAACGCAGAATCCCCCCGGAATTACGAATTTTTCCCGATTCCCCGGTATGGAGTTCTAGTCAGGAATTATTGTATTTCAATTTAACGCTGGAAGAGTAAATTCGAACGTGAGTTATAAGTTGGCTTAAAATATTAAATATTTTACAGAGCTCGCGTTTCTAATTATTTTGCGTTACTTTTTTTACAGTACAACAAGGAAGCACACGTGGCTCTCTCCTCCGAAATATAACCGGCGCGAGAGGAGTCTATGGAGGAAGAAGAAGAAGAAGAAGAAGAAGAAGAAGATGTTCTTCACGAGCGCGGTAATGTTAAGTATAATTATATTGAAATACGGGAGGAAAACGCGCGGCGGTTTAGAAATTTCTATATATTAGGACGAGAGGCTAGTATAAAAATTTTCTCACCCGTCGAAGGCACCGACATCGCTAAACATTTAGAAAAGGCGTTCCGCGAAATCTATTCTTACAACGTTAATTCCTCTAACGCGAGCGATTACGTGGGTCTGTCTTTCACCTCGACGGCTTTAACACGCGGGCCGGCCAGTTTGTCGTTTCGCCTGGTACGAGACTTGAATCACGAGGATATCTGGGACCTCGTAAGCTCGGTAGCGCAGAGCGCCGGGCGTCACGATATCGCGGAACGTTTTTTAATAACGGTGTACAATGTCGGGATGCCTTCGGGCCGAGGGGGAAAATCGAATTAAGATAATCCCGCTCGGCGGTTATAAGGGTGTCAACGCGCAATCGCGTAAAGCGTTGCAATGGTTATTGCTGATAGAACATGAGTTTGGACGCACGATAATTTACGCGGGGAGAGATCGGGAACAGCGTTTATCGGAAGGCTTGCTCGTCGACGGATATTATGAGACGGAGAATCCCCGGCAGCGTCACGTGCTGCAGTTTCACGGCTGTTTTTGGCACGGATGTCCCGAGTGTTTTCGCGTGAACTGCGACAGACCGCTCTCAACCGTCGCGCGAGGATACGATCGAAGCGCGTTACGAGCGCACACTCGCGACGACGTATCGTCTTAGAAAACGGGGGTACGTCGTTACGGAAAAGTGGAAGTGTATCTTCGATCGGGAGCTGGCGAAAATCGCGAGATACGCGAATTTGTTGAGAATCATCCCATGTTGAGAAACAATCCCCTCGAACCTCGCGAGGCGTTCTACGACGGGCGTACGGAAAATATTGTCACGTGGTACGAAGTTACGGGTACGGAGAAGATACGCTACGTGGACGTGTGTTCTTTGTACCCGTATGTGCTGAAGACGGGTGCTTTTCCGCTCGGTCATCCGGACATTTACGTGGGTGAGGAGTGTTGTGCCTTAATCAGAGCAGGCCCCGATTTTAACTTTGACGTCATAGAAGGCTTCGTACGTTGTAGAGTACTCGCGCCGCGTGATCTCTTCCATCCGGTACTCCCTTATCGCGTGAACGGAAAATTGCTATTCGCGCTTTGTCGCAACTGCTGCGAGACATTTTCTCAGACCGCGTGTACGCACGACGACTCTGCCGATTGCGAATTCGAAGACGCGTGGGTGTCTTGCGAGTTACGCAAAGCTATCGAGAAAGGTTATCGCGTCACAAGCGTGAACGAAACATGGAGCTACGAAATTACGCGATACGATCCGGTTACGCGGCGGGGGGATTGTTCGCCGAGTATATCAACTACTTTCTGCAGAAAGCAAGAGGCCAGCGGATAGCCGAACGAATGCGCGAATGACGAAGGCGGCAAGGAACGGTATCTGCGCGAATACGAGAAAGTCGAGGGTATTGTTCTCAATAGGGCGAATATCTCCCCGAATCCAGGCTTGCGCTCGGTCGCGAAGCTCTGTCTCAATTCCTTCTGGGGTAAATTCGGCCAACGGTCCAATCTACCGAATACCGAGATCGTTAAAACGTGGGAGAGTTTTACGGCTCTGCTCACGAGCCCGGAGCACGAAATAACAAATGTATTGCCCGTAAACGACGAAGTGATATATGTTTCGTGGCGAATGAGGCGAGAAGCCATCACTCCGTCTCCGCTGACCAGCGTCATGATAGCCGCTTACACCACGGCGTTAGCCCGATTAAAGCTATATTCGTATTTAGAAAAGTTAGATCGTCGCGTGTTATATTACGATACCGATTCGTGCATATATTTGAACACCGGTGATCCCGACGAGTACGAGCCGCGTACGGGAAATTTTTTGGGCGATATGACGGACGAACTCGAGAGTCACGGCCCGAGTAGCTACATCGAGACATTCGTAACCGCCAGTCCGAAATTTTACGCTTACGTCGTTCGCATGGGCGAAGGACGCGCATGAGAAATTTGCAAAGTGAAGGAGATAACCATGAATTTTAAAAATTTTTGCGTGCTTAATTTTAGTTCCATTAAGTCATTGTTACTAGCCGACGAAAAGTTAAAGAGGGGAGAAAAGACGGGTGAGGATAAAACCGTGATAAAACTGCGATTTAGCGCAATTCGACGCACCGTATTTCACGACATCGTCACAAGAGACGAGACAAAGTCCTGCATGCCAGTATTATTAAAGCGTAGTTTTAACGACAACGGATACTCCGTACCGTACGGTTACGTTTCCAGCGAATAGCGATATATATCTCTCTCTCTCATTTGTTTCACTTATTTGCAGTGTAAGATTTTAAAATTATTCCTAGGGTAAGAAAAATGTAAAAACTATAAAATATAAGAAAAATGTAAAAACTGCGAAATATACGTAATATACACGCCTGTTTACTCCTCCTGTAAAAAAATCTAAATTTTACGCACTATACTTTAAAAATAAGGATTTTTATATGCAACGAAGACGAATGTAAAAAATAAAAACTTTTTAAATCAATTTTGTTCTTACATATACTCACATTTCCTCCACTCCTTCTACCCCTCCAGCCCCCCTCCAGCCCCCCCTCCCTAGACTTTAAGCGAGCGAGCGAAACAATTTTGAATTTCTTGCGCGACGTTTAAGTGCGACGGATAGAACTTTCAAACAAGAGGATAAAATATCCCGGCTGAGCGTGAACCGAGAAATATCGTTTGTTCCAACGCGATAAGCTCAACAATCGCGGTTCTAGCGCTGGGGGAGGGGGGATGCAAGCTGTATCTTTCCCCCAGCGCTAAATAAGCTTTTGCGCGTCGCGTGAGGAAGCACGCTCACGACGGCGCGAACCGCGCCGTGCCGTGGGAAAGAGCTCACTGAGGCGCGCGCGTCCCCGCGGATGTACGCTGACGCAGAGCGCCGTGGCCGCCGCGTGAATTCCCCGCATGGGTTTGCTAGCCCACAGTCACGCGATTCGAGATATAAATCCACGCTTGCGAGCCGGTCTTTTTTCATTCCCAGAGTCGCGCGCGGAGACCGTTTGTTCGCGCGACATTCGTTTGTTCGCGCGACCGTTTGTTCGCTGGAGGCATACTTGGACATCGATCGTTTGCGGTCCGACGGGATGCGGTAAAACGATCTTCGTGAAGACTTTTCTTCGCCATTTGTCCGTCATGTCCGACGTCCGTTTCAAAAGAATTTTGTTTTATTACGCGAAGTGGCAGGAGGTCTATCGTCAAATGCAGCACGAAGTGGATTTGTTGTACCGCCGCGAAAAGTCCGGGGCGGCATCGTGCGACATGGGAAAGCGCGCGGGGGGAAATATAATCGAGTTTCGCGAGGGTTTACCCCGCCCCGATGATTACTCGCACGATCCGCTTTGCGCGAAATTAATGATAATCGACGATCTTATAAGGGAATCGTCCTCGTGCGACGTGATTGTGGATTTGTTCACAAAAGGTAGTCATCACAAGAACCTCAGCGTTATACTGATTTCTCAAAATCTCTTTCATCAAGGCCGCGGACAGCGGGATATTTCTCTCAACAGTAATTACATCGTGGTATTCAAAAATCCTCGCGATCGCGCACAAATTTACCACTTGGCGGGTCAAGTTTATCCGGATGATCCGAAGTTTCTGGAAGAGACGTACCACGACGCTACTTCGCGGCCGCACGGATATTTGCTGCTCGATTTGAAACAGTCCACTCCCGACGAATATCGATTTCGAGCGTGCATCTTCCCCACGGCTAACGCGCATTATGTTTACGTCCTACGTAGATCTTCGGGAAATCACGTATCTCTGCACGCCCGAATCGCGACAGTCGCGTCTTCGCGATGACATCGAAACGCGGGAGTAGCGATAAAGCGACGAGTCGCTCCATCGGCCAGAAAAACATCTGCCTTCTGAAAGCATTGTGCTATTTAACGAAGAAAGAGCGGACCTCCTTATTATGCTGCACAGGTAACGATTTCATCGCCTGTATCGGTGAATGCGCTTTCAACACACTCAGAGGTAACGTAGCGCTCGACCAGCGGGAAAAAAATCGTTTGTCCAGGTACAAAGCTGCGCTGCGGAATATCGCGAGTAAACGCACTAATTTGAAAGCCAAAAGGAAAATTATCGCGCAAAGAAGAGGATTCTTGCCTTACCTGATCGGGCCTACACTCGATGCTATTCTATCAAGCGTTATCGGTAGACCGCGAAATTAATTAAATCGAACGCTCGCGCGGATGAATCATGGAAAGAGCGAGAAAGATGGTTTTGGTTTCTGCGGAAAATCTCGCGAGAATGCAGCAGCAGCAGCAGCAGAAGCAGCAGCAGCAGCAGCTACAGCAACAACAACAACAACAACCCGCTGTGTTTCCCGCCGTTTCGGCGAATAACGACGCGGGATCCGGTGAAAATACCGTACGCATCCCGGGAACCGTTTTGTCGCGACTCGACGCCGAGATGAGACGAATTCTCGACTCAACGATGCCGGATTGCGAGAAATGGGAATTGTACAGAGAGGTGCTTCAACGTTACCTGCATTTTTTCCGAGAAGAAGAAAAAAATCAACAAACACGCGAAAATGCGGACGTTAGCAATGACGGCGACGATGCCGAAAACAATCGTCCCGAAGATGACGGAAACGACAACGTTCTCGATGACGAACCGGAGCCCGATCGTCGTCATCGTGAGAGAGAGAGACGAGGGAAGCGGAGGAGGACGCACCGACGGAGGCGCGTATCGATGAAGATAACGCGAGCGCATTGAGCCGCCCCGTCGGCGAAGCCCCCCGTCTAGGACGCCGCGGCGAGCAGAAAAGCATCAAAGGAATACTGGATAAAATCCCAAAAAGTTATCGTGGTAAAGCGCGCAAGCTGTTGCGACATTTATGCGATGTGGCGGTGCCCGTTAGAATAAGCTGGGACAGACAAGGGGTCGAGAATAGATGGAAACGTTTTAAAGGGAATGAACATCGCCGAACTTGTGAACGATGCGGTACGCAAGAAAAAAAACCTTAAAAGGACGGGAAAAGGCCGATTCGCTCGACTATTGCGCGATTAGCTACTCCACCCGAATTCGTGGGAAATCGCGAATTACGAGAGGAGAACATTCGTCAGATTTTCACCTAAGAATCGCCTTTGCGCGATTACGTTTCTATTCCCGATAATTTAGCGGCACGTAGTAGCACCCCTATTCCAAGAGCAAGAGCGCGAGTGGATAAACGCGCGTTCGATGAAGCATCGCTTGAAGATGAGCGCGACGATGAGGGATACTCGACGTTTATATCCGGCGACGGTAACAAGAACATAACCCACGTGAGTGGCCGCGATTCCAAACTCGCGAGGAAGAGGCGATTGTTAAATTGGAATCTCAGAGAACCTTTGAACAGTAACGCGTATATCCTCGAAGGTCCGTCGTCGTCGTCGCGTAAAAACGTAACTTTTCCCGGGACAAAGGTGGCGGCCGGTAAACGCAGATCCGGTGAGACATCGTTTGAAGAGAAACAGGACAACGAGGTGTTTATATCCAGTAACAACAAGAAGAATAAAACGCGCGTGAGTGACAGAGATTCTAAGTTCACAAGGAAGAGACGATTGTTGGATTGGAACCTTTTGGAATGACGGGACTGGAAAAATTATACTATAATCCCGCGCACTATGCGGGGTACTCAGCCGTGGAAAATCTTTCGCGCGCCGCCGAGTCGGATTTCAATCGAAACGAAATTATTAGTTAGCTCGAGTCACAAGACGCGTACACGCTGCACAGACCGATACGCAAATTTCCTCGCTTACATTACAACGTAACGAATATCGACGACGTGTGGGAGGCTGATTTGATTGAGCTTCGCAATCTCAAGAACTACAACGATGACTACTGCTACTTGCTCACGATTATCGATGTGCTCAGCAAATACGTCTGGGTGGAAGCGATACGTGACAAAACAGGTATTAGCGTGACGGCAGCACTCCGATGCGTGCTCTCGAGGAGCGAGGGGCAGCTACCTGTGTATCTACAGATAGACAAGGGAAAAGAATTCCTCGCGCGTCCCTTTCAAAACTTTTTGAAATAAAAGGGCATACGTTTTTGCGTAACTCCAAATCCTGATGTCAAAACCGCCGTAATCGAGCGCTTTAATAGAACGCTCAAGGGACGAATGTGGCGTTATTTTACTCATCGGAATACGCATCGTTACATCGATATTTTGCAGAGTATCGTGCGCGCCTACAATCACACCCGTCATTCCGCCACTTTGATGCAGCCGGCGAGTGTTACGTTGGAAAACGCTCGCATCGCACGCGAAAATACGAAACGACGATACGAGCGCAAAGAGGGAGCTCGTAAACGAAAGGCAATAAATACGCGGTGAGCGATCTGGTGCGAGTCAGTAGGGCAAAAAACATTTTCGAGAAAGAATACGAGGCGAATTGTAGCGAGGAAATATTTCAAATTCATCGCGTTTTCGCGTGGCAAAAGCCGAGAGTATACGAATTGAGTGATCTATCGGGTGAAGTTATAGACGGAATATTCTACGAACAGGAACTAGCGAGGGTGAGCAAAAATTTGCGAGAAAAGGAGTTTATCGTCGACAAAGTGATAAAAAGCAGGGGTCGCGGCGCCGGTAAGGAATTGCTAGTTAGCTGGCGAGGATACCTCTCTAAATTTAATTCGTGGATGTCCGCTTTGAATCTGAAATCGCTCGGGCATAATGCGAGAACAATTTCTCATGATTCTACCTAGCAACATCAGCATGCGATACTTTCCGAAAAATACGACCACGTCGTTTATCACGGAATTACCTCAACGAGTGGATTTGCGCGGTCAATGGGAAGTCGCGCTCACCGAGATTCAGTTTCCCTACAGTTTTTTGCACATACAAGCTGGAAAGGAGGGCCGACTCGTCTTCGTCAATATCAAGGAGCACGAGCCGAAGAAAACTGTCGAGATCGAAACCGCCTGCATAACCCCCGGCGTTTACCGCGATCAACCGGATTTGATGTCAGCCTTAAACAGCGTCTGTGCGCAGATCGGTGCGCACATCGTTTGGCGGGTGGATTTCCGATACGGTGGCAGAGTCTTTATGAGTCTCAAGTGCGACAAAAAACAATGCACCATAGTGTAAAATTCTCCGACAAGCTCGGTCGTATGCTAGGGTTCGATACGCACAAAAAACGCGCAGAACTAAAATATCCTGAGGTGGCGAATATCGAATCCATATTGCGCTATCCCGATTCGAAATCTGCACGGAGCACACGCGAAGTTAACGAGGAATTATTTTACATGATTTCGTCGACAACGCGTGAACTCGCGTCCGACGCACCGAGTAGCATCGCGCGAGGTATTCCCGA